TTATTCGCAGATCAAGACTTTTAAATGACATTTCGACCTTGCTGCACCGAAGTATAGTCGGGTTATTAGCAGTTAACGAAAGTTAATGGTTCGGCGAAGAGAGCAGAAATTTTTTTGAAGCAAAGGTGTTACATATCGATATATTAATCGAAGACAGAACGGCGCTGCTCAGTCGGTAGAGCGTCTGACTCACAACCGAGAACTGGAAAGTTCGAGCCCCGGTAGGACTACTCGATTTTCTCCCTTTCGGTGATGATAATAGAGTACCATTCTGTAGTAAGGAAACAAGACACTACACACTATGCCTACAACATAACTGCTGTTGATTCTACCATCAAAAAGTAAGGCACTCATGGCTGATAGCAAAGAAATGGAGGTCAGCGGCCCAGCGGTAAACTTCACGCAAAGAAATGAGCTAGAAATGGTGCCATCATAAAAGTGTAAAGAAGGCTGACATTCCAAATTTACAAATTTTCTGCAATTCTATAAATTACAAATTTTTCTTTCCTATTAATTGAATATTGTTAAATCTGGTATAGGAAACTCCCTTTGCTGGGAGCTACCGCAGAACATCGGGGTTATATTTTGTTTCAAAATTCAATGAGATTCTGCATATTTTATTTACAAAAGTCAAATGTTTCTTGACATGTGTTTCTCAATATTAGCTAAGAACTTTTCAGTCGCTGCGTGAAGACGTTACCAGTAATTCAGCATTTATCGCTAACTTTAGATTTCGTTTGCTACCATAACATATTCACATAAATGCAACAAATTTGAACACAGCTTATAAATAATTTGCTTCCTTTTCATTTAAATGTACCAGGTTCGAATCTCAACGCAATTCAAACCCGCTAATAAACGGTTTAACTGGATAATTACAAAAACCACTGATATACCAAAGGCTAAACATTGCTGACTGTGTTTAAGCTCGTGCCGTGGCAATGATGTAGGCACAGATTTAAACGGTAATGCGGTAAAAACCACACATTACTACTCTGGACTGGAAAGCAAATTAATAATTAATTCCATATCGGTAATGACAATTTACCAGTCTGGACGGTAACATACAAAAACATTTTTTATTGCAGCAAATAAAAATCGAACCTGTCATTTAAGACCTCATTTACATGAATATGATAGGTGTTCTGATTCAAAGAAACAAGTTCAATTCCTAGTGTCACTAACCATAAAGTCAGAAAATC